AGATACAACTATACAACATTTCACTTTTGTTTATCACCACTTGTCTTGATGAAGACGGCAAAAAATAAGAATTGTTTTCCTTTTGTTTATTTTATTCAATTTATCTTTTCTACAGATATATTCTGAAAATTTTTACACATTGTCAACATGTAAAACAAAAAACACCCTCAAAAAAAAAAAAAATATAAAAAGAATGAAGTTACTAATATCCAAAATGAAAATTTCGTGAGACTTCTTACATATATCCAAGAATAAAGACAATAATATATATATATATATATATATATATATATATATATATATATGATAAGACAGTATATATATACGATTATAAATCTATGAATATATATATATATATATATATATATATGAATATAAATCTATGAATATATATATATATATATATATATATATATATATATATATATATATATATATATATGAATATATATATATATATATTGTCCTCTGATGGACTATTTCAAAGCAAGTGGTAAAATCCTTTAGAGGGATGCGTCGGCTAAGATATGTTTTCTTTTTGTCTTTATTCATATTGTTCTTTTTTACAGATATAAACTATACATATTTGAATATATATATATATATATATATATATATATATATATATATATATATATATATATATATATATACAGAATATAGAATTGGTATACTGAATAAGTTCCAATAACCAACAAATACTATTCTTAAAAAAGAGTGCTCAATACAGAGTCGAGCAAATAAAATTATTTATTCGAAAAATTATAACATAAATATTTATAAAATCCCTACAAAAATAGCCATTTTGTTTCAACACTTCTAGTGTCTTATCGAGTGATGGTGTTGAATATTGAATAGCACGAAGTCTAAGTCATCGTGACCGAGGGATTGAGTGTGCTGGCCTTGTTTACATTGTTGATCACGCTGAATGTAGGCTCTTTTCCAGAAACTGTAACTAAGGTCTGCTCAGCATAGTTGCAGTATAAATCACAGGTGGGCTCTGTGGGTGTTCAATAAACACAAATATACCTGAGCGAGCGTCTGAATTAGGGATTAGCTAGCCGCCCTAGTAGACGTGTATCCTTACGAGTGGTCAGCTATATATATATATATATATATATATATATATATATATATATATATATATATATATGCGTGTGTGTGTGCGTCAGTGTGTGTAAATACAGTGGTCCGCTGAAAGAAATTCGAGAGACAAAAATGTCAATAAAAATAATAATATTGACAATAAGACTAATAATATTTTTTGTTTCTATTTGGTCAAAGGGCCGAATTAAATTTATTGTATATTTTCGAACCTTTGACCAAATAGTACCACGAGGAGGAAAAAAAATGTTAAAAATCGGAATTTTCGGACACGAGTCTGTTCTTTCTTAACGAGGCATAAAAGAAATTTGAAGTTTGATTTTATCGGGGCGGGGATTTGTCCGCATGTGTTATAATATTGATGAAATCTAAAAGTTTTCGGCTCGTTGTTTGCGACGATGAGAGTTGAAGAGGGTTTGTAGATGACTTTCTTCCGTAACCGTATTACTGATGAAATCTTGTAGGTAGAATTTCACTACAATATTTTATCAGTAACAAAACATACCGAAAAAATGTCCCCCACCCCCAATAAAAAGCGTTTGCAACTTTACTTTTTATTTTGTATTTCTCTTATTGTCTTTTATTTTTGTATTTTTATCCTTGAGAAAGGACACGGGCCTGTCCGAAAATTCCGTTTTTTTTTTAATTTGTAGCCACTTGAAAATAATAAAACATTCTTAATTACCATTATAATGCCATAGCTAATTCGGGTGAAGCACTCTCTTGCATTTTTTTAAAAAAAAGTCTGTTGCATCGGATAATGTTTTACTTTTTTTATTTATAAAATAAATTAATAAGTCAATAATTAAAATATAAAATAAAGAGTTAAATAACATTTCTGACAATAAATGTGAAAATTAATTTTATAAATTCGTTCTTGACAAATACTAAATATGACATCGCTAAATGTACACGCCAATTTATAGATCTTTTGTCTGAAATATTATCTCTACGCAAATGGAACCCCTAACCCACAACAGTCTTCATTTAAAGAAAAATGGTCAAAAATTTAAGGCAGTTTATTCGAAAGAAAAACGTTTTCTGCTTCTTTAAAGTTTCTAAAATATTGGCTTAATCGACATAAATCTTCATTTTTCTGGGAGGCGTTCAAACAGAGTACGGAAAGTGCGACACTGAGCTCAGAAAACGTATTGGGATGGCCAAAGACGATAATAAAAAGCTAAATAATGTATTAAGAGACAGAAAAAAATTCGTTAGAAACAAAGAAAAGAGTACTGAGCTGTTACCTGATATCTGTCCACCTATATTCCAGCGAATGCCGGACAATCTCCTCAAAGATGAAGAAGAGCCTTGAAGCAACAGAAATATGGTTCTACAGAAGAATGCTGAGGATACCATGGACCGAACACGTGAGCAACGAGAAAATGGAAACAAAACGCAAACTTATACTTAATATCAGGTAGAGGCAGTTGAAATTTCTGGTACACCTAATGAGGAAAGAGGGCTTGGAAAATCTAATACCCACAAGACAGACTGATGGAAAGAAGGGCAGAGGAAAGAAGTGTATAACATACTTGATGAGCTTGAGTAAATGGATAGAACAGGGTATGAGAGAAATAACAAAAACACAAAACATATTAAGAGCTATAAAAAATAGGAAGATGTGGAGGGCCATAGTCGCTTACGTCCTGAAGGGACATGGTACATGAAAGATGAAGTGTGTAAAAACAGCGTAAAAATCGTCTAAGAGAACCCTTTTTATGATCCAACAGTATGGCTGATGTTAACCTCTAGAGAGTGACTCTTTGCACCTTCTCGAACTAACGTTTTCCGCTGACATGAAATGGAAAGATTATATTCAATCAATTGCTAGATCTACTGCGAGGAAAATTTGTTCTTTGTTTCGTGCTAGATAATCTTTCTTGTCAGAATCTGTTTTACATATTTATAAGCTTACCATTCGCTTTTGCTTTGAATACTTTAACCACATCTAGCCTGGTACTCCTGCTATATATTTAGAGATACTCAAATCTAAAGAAGAATCTGCAATGTTATTGGTCCTGATCTGGCATCTCAGCTTTAGACACTTTCCCATTGCCGTAATGTAGCTTCTCTGTGACTTTTCTATAAACACTTTCATGGTAATTATTCTGATGAGCTTTTCTCTATGGTACCTAGAATTTATAAATTTAAGCGCAGTACTAGACTGGTGACAAGGTTTCATCATTTTATACTTGAAATACCTAGGTGTAACCGTAAGTTCTATGCTAACAGTTTCTTCTATCGCACTTCTCCTTAAGGGTAATTATTTTCCGGTTTCTTGTTTCCCAGTCAACGTTGATCTTCAAAAAATTAAATGCCATGTCCATCGGTATCTTCCATTTTCTTAATTCTTGTCCTTTTAATTCTTCCCTTTCCTTAATAGTCTATTTTTCTCATATTTTCTCACACTCTGTAACCCCTTGCATCTTAGTGGCTTTATTACCTTCTTTGGTGCGAAATGATTAAAAAAGGCATTAGTTATTTTGAGGTGAAGAATCGTCAACCATAATTTTTTAGTTATGACTAGGAATTCTCTTTCTTCCTAATCTTTTCTTAGGGTCACATTTTATCAAAATTTTATTCGGACTGTCAGTGTGCAGAAATGTGTACACAGCACAGACCGGAATAAATTTACCAAAGAGATTCGAACGTGCATTCCTTCTGCCTGAAAGAAGACTAGTTATCCAGATCAGCTGCTGTTATTGTCTGAGTTACAAAAAAAGTTACAAATTGAACTATATTAACTTAAACATCACTCTCGATTTCTCTCGTCGCCATATTTGTTATTTTCAACCATTTTTTTTACTAGGATTTCTTCCATCTTATTTTTATTACTTTTCTTCGCAACTATGACCGTTATTTTTTTTATTATTTTATTATTAGATGAAGCCTTGTCAGCCATTATTTTTAGCTAGGATTCTTTCATTTTAATTTTACTAGCTTTTTATTACATCTCAGACTGTATTGTGATACGAAATGAAGCAATGTCATCCATTATTAATTTTTGCCTAGTATTTGTGCCATCTTAATTTTACTAGCTTTACTTCGGAACCACTCAAACTGTCATTCTTTTATTATTTCATTATTAGATGAATCATTGTCAACTATTATTAATTTTTTAAACGTATTTCTTTCTCTTTTAGCTTCATTTCTATTCAGTTCAGCTACTGCGAGACTCGTTCTATTATTATTAGATGAAGTACTGTCAACCATCATTCATTTTTGACGACTATTTATTTCATTTTAATTTTAGTTGTATTTCATTGCGACTACTCAGACCTTCATTCTCTATTATTATTTTACTAATAGATGAAGCATTGTCAAGCATTATTCATGTTTTACATGTATTTCTTTCATCTTAATTTTAATAGCTTTTCAGACGTGCATCAGTGTAAGACAATTAAAACAACGCACAAATAATGTATAAACTCTCGACGAGATTCGAACCCGCATCTGTTTACTTAAAAGACTTCATTTTGACTCCGAATTCCAATGGCAGTAGACTGATGGTTTTAGTCGTTGTGGTCGGAAACAACTAAAATGAAGATGAAAGAAACACCTCCACAAAACTTTTTATAATGTATCATCTAATAAAAAAAATTCTAGAAAATATTACTAATAATTTCTTGTTTAAACATCATTAAAAATGGTTAAATTTCGGTTTTTTGACTGTAGGTATTGGTCAAACAAATTTGGAGAGAAATTGAAAGAAAAAAAAATCTCCACTAATCGAGTGAAGTTTTGGGACGTCGTTTTGACTGGAATGTCTACTAATGCAAATTTTAGTTGGAAGGTGATTTTGCTTTTTGTCACTTGCAAATAAGTTGGAAAAATCTATAGAATGTTGACCTCTGGTGACATTTTCCATTATTAAGACTCAAGCAGGCTTTGATTTAACGAAAATAGATAGACAGGAAAACATTTAGATAGATAGATAGATAGATAGATAGATAGATAGATAGATAGATAGATAGATAATGAACAACCTGAGATAGATAGATAGATAGATAGATAGATAGATAGATAGATAGATAGATAGATAGATAGATAGATAGATAGATAGATTCATTGATTGATTGAATTTTAGTGGGTACACGTATTTGAGTTAACGTCACTGATTTTATTATTTTGACAGCAAAATTACTGTCAATCAGCTAAGGTCGGGATATTATTTTCACTTTTTAAGAAAATTAAAAAATACTATTATGTCAACTGAAACACCTGTACCCAATAACTTTTATAGTAATAAGAAATAATGTTGGATTTTTTTAAAAAAAGTAAAAGAAATATTTAAAAAATGTATATATATATATATATATATATATATATATATATATATAGATAGATAGATATAGATGAATGAATAGATAGATAGATAGATAGATAGAATGAACAGCGAGATAGAATGAAAGTTAAATAGATAGATGAAAGAAGAAAGAAAGAAAGAAAGAAAGAAGAAAGAAAAAACAGTTCGATAGATAGATAAAATGTAAAGATAATGATAGATGAATGATAGATAGATAGATAGATAGATAATGAATGAACAGTGAATAGATGAACAGTAAGATATATAAAGTTCGACAGATAGAATGAACAGTAAGATAGATAGATAGATAGAAAGAAACAGTTCGATAGATAGATAGATAGATAGATAGATAGATAGATAGATAGATAGATAGATAGATAGAAACATTTCGAAGATAGAATGAACAGCAAGATAGATAGATAGATAGATAGATAGATGTATCAAAATCAGAAATGCATTTCATCATCTATATTGAAAATTAACGTTTTGATTTCCTTGAAAATCAAAACTTTAATTGAACGATTTTAATCTATGATAATTATTTCTTGTCTAATTTCACTAATGTTACTCCCCCATCTTACTTCACAAACAGATCACTTTACTTTTGTTAGCCTGGGCCTAAACATTCATCTCAGTTCTGTTACGATATTTACCCGACCTCCCCACGAGGCAGGATATGACCCAAGGCCGATTTTTATGTGGTGCGATCTGAGCCCGTATCCACTAAAATTAAAAGAGTTCTGCTAATTTACAAACAAACGAACAGTTTTTCTTTCAAGTTAAAAGAATCGACGGACGATTAATTAAATATTGAACTTTGCAACTTTAATCACTTAATATATTTATTTTCTAGAAATTTAGCTTATTTATTTAT